AATATAAAATTTACTATGATTACATATTGATGCAACTACTAAAAATATTTGATGTATCACAATCACTTCGTGGCTCAACTTGGCCATGATGCTGTATATACAAGTTTTCATACGTGGTTCAAACAGTTTGTAAGTTTATCCTAATAATCTAAAGTTTCGATTATGCTAACTTATGAGTTTTTTTAACACTATGTAGATAAATAATCCAAATAATAGTGTAAATTAATTTTTGAAAGATATATATTGGGGACTTGGGCTTCGGGTCACAACAATATCTAAGTACGTAGTGAATGGTTATAAGTTTCATACAGAGGATTGCCTTAAGAATAAATATAGCAACAACATCGTGGTATGGGTTCAAGGTGGTGATGGAAACCAAGTTGGAGATATTGATTATTATGGTGTGGTCAAAAAAATATTACAACTAGAATATACAGGTTGGCCATATAAGAAATTGATACTCTTTAGATGCAAGTGGTTTGACCCAAATCCAACAAGAGGTATAAAAGTACACCACCAATACAACATAATTGAGCTTAATCATACGAGGGAGTATGATCGCTATGATCCTTTCGTAATTGCACATAACGTTAGGCAAGTATATTATGCTCCTTATCCATTACAGCGGAATAAGTTCGATTGGTGGGTTGTAATCAAAACCAAACCTGTAGGTAGGGTGGAAGTCGAGAATGTGTTAGATGTTGCATATCAAAACAATATCTCTAATGTTCACCAAATAGTGGGCGATCAGTTAGATAATAATTTGGAACATCCTGAACGCATATTGGAAGAAGTTAATATAAATGAAGTAACAATTATAGAAATGGAGGACGAACAATCAACTGATGATGAAACAAGTGAGGACGAAGAATTCTCGGACGAGGAACAATACGTCGACGAGGATTAAAAAGTTAGGTTTTTAAAGCACTCTCGTGTTATAACTAGTTTCTTATATGTTTCAACCTAAATATGTATTATATTATGTAGATGGCAGGCAAGAGTCAAGGTAACAATGACCCTACTAGTTCTCGGGGTCGAGAAAAGGCTAGGAAGGGAAAGAGGAGGGTAGAATCTGGGATAATACTACTCCCTCATTCCACCCTCTTCAGAAATGCCAATGTCTTATCCTCTACCACACAGCTATATTGAGCTGCCACAGCATCACGAGGCCTATACCTTCATCCAGACACCGGGTCTTCCATCACAGGGCCATAAGACTATACGTCCGACATAGAGTCTAGCTGCCTCACAGGAACGTGGATCGCAGCCATCTGCATCACAACCACGAGGATCGCAGTCATCTGCATCACAACCACGTGGATCGCAGTCATCTGCATCACAACCACGTGGATCGCAGCCATCTGCATCATAGCTACGTGGATCGCAGCCATCTGCATCACAGCCACGTGGATTGCATCCCTACATATCATAGGCACATGGATCACACCCATCCATATCAAAGCCATTTGTGTTATAGCCATCTGTATCATATCCACATGGATCACATCCAGCTATGTCGCAGTCACAGGGATCGCAACCATCTTCATCATCGACTCCATCCATTTCAGGACTTCTCCTGCGAGACCGTGGTTCTGAGCCCCCATCTACACCATCTACACATGCCTATTATACACATGCTGAGGATGATGATCCCGAGGTAGTGCATTATGATCGCTATGGCAGGATCATCATAGTCCCTAAGGGTAACGGGTAAGAGTTATTTGTTATTTTGCGTTTATTGTTTTATAATGTTTTTACTATTATTCTCATGTGTTTTTATTGTTAAATTAAAGGTTCAGGCAGGGTGAGCAGACTACGAAGACAATCATCAATGCGATCAAAAAGCTTTATAATGGCCCCTATGCGACTTGGAGTGATTTCCCATACTCGCTGAAGGAGAAAATTTTCAACTAGTTTAAGGTATAAATGTTCTTTTAAGAAGTTAAATAATTTATATTTATGATGTTTCCATCTAATATTTAACTTTTGAAATGCAGAGTAAGTGCGTTTGGGAAGACCACTATAGCGAGGAAGTGGCTGCAAATTTTCATCTTAAAGCCCGCAAGAGATTGGCGGGTCAATTCTCAGATGGTAGAAAGAAGAACAAGAGGCCTTATTGGTGTCTGCAACATTTATGGGATAATTTGTTAAGGCAATGGAAGACCGAGCAAGTCTAACAGAAGAGCGAACTAGAGAAGAAAACTCGCTCATCCCAGAAGGGAGGCTCCTTGCACATTGGGGGTGCAATCAGCATCGGGATAATAAGAAGAAGATTGGTAATTGCTTAAATTGTTACGTCTTTACTTTTCTATGTATATCAATTCTATTTATTAACCAAATTTATTTATTTTTGGGAAAAGAAGTATGGGCGTCCAATGCACCATGATGAGCTATTCAAGGAGACACATATTTTAAAGAAGAAGAAAGAGGGGGATGGAGATAGGTGGGTCGAGGACCGGGCAGAGACTACATATGTAAGCTTTCAATTTTCCTTTAGTGTTATAATTTACTTTTATAAGATTTTTCATAGTCGGCCAGCTGGTGAATCGGGCGATCCAACCCAAACTTCGAACGATGATGCTGAAAGAATATGGTTGCAGGTTGTTGGCGGTCCAAAAAAGGGGAAGGTATACGGGCTTCCTGAGAAAAAAATCCATCGCTACAGGTGTGGAATACAAGGAATAAGGACTTCCTCACAGGCCGAGGCACTTAATAGGGAGAGCCTCCCGGCTCAGGAGACAGTGACAAAGCTTACATGCGAGCTAGAAGCGGCCAAGGAAAGAGAAAGGATTAGAGATGCTCAATTCCTTGGTATGCAAGCTTAGATCAGAACTCTCCTTTCTACTGGAGCATTTCTGTTGCCTCGGTCTCGTGAGTCCTCGCCAGAGGCTCAACCTCCACATGATCGTTTCTCCCGTCCTCCCCGTGAGCGTTCCTCCCGTGCTCCGAGTGATCATTCTTCCCCCTCCTCCACAAGAACGTTCTCTATACCATCTTGTAGATGAAAGCTCATCAGCTGGTGATGATGCATGTTGTAGAAAACAGCCATTGACCAATATTTCAATATAGAGCCCGTTTGGATGGGCTTGTTTTAAGTGACTTTTAAGTCAAAATAGATTTTAAACTATAAGTTAGGAATTCTAACTTTTTGCTTTTGGCTTGTTTTTGTCATTTCAGCTTAAAAAAAGTGCTTAAAAGCACTTTTTTACTTTATCCAAACACTACAAAATGGCTTAAAAGCTATTTCAGCTTAAAAGCACTTAAAATAAGCTAATCCAAACGGGCTCATACTTTGAACTAGACTAATAGAACTAGTTTTGAATTAGATTGAACAATTTTGAACTTGTTGTAATTACTTAGTTTTTGCTTGGTTTTGAATTGTGATGTTTAAGTGAACTTTGTTAGTTTTAAAGTATTATTTGGATGCTTGGTTGGATTTTGTGGTGAATTAGGGGTTGTTTGTGGTGAATTTGGGGTTATTTGACATGAATTGAGGGTTATTCGATGTGAGTTGGGGGTATTGGTATGTTGTTTTTATTTGGCAGGTGGTGTAGCTACCAAAATATGCATTTTCTGCCAAAAATTATTCTAGAAAATCGACCGACCTTGGTCGCTAACTAATAAAAAAAATTAAATTGCAAAATACCAACCAATGTTGATCGGTTAATGCACATTGAATCCCCAGAAATTCAACATTACCGACCAACTTTGGTCGGTAAGTTGGCTGCCAGTCCAGTTTACCGACTAACGACGGTCGATATTATTAAATTTAATTATTTATAAAAAATATAAATTTTCTGGTAGTTAAAATATTATAAATTAATTTTTTTCATAAACGACTAACGTTGGTCGGTAAATAAAATTATTAAATTCAGAACACTGACCAACATTGGTCGGAAAGATTAAATTATTAAAATAACATTTCGACTAATATTGGTCGGTAATTCAATTAAATTGTCAGATGGTCGTGTAGAGAATACGACCGAAGTTGGTCGGTAATTTCCGACCGACTTTGGTTGGTATGCTCTACCGACCTTCAAAATACCGACCATACGTAAATGGTCGCGTTTTGGACGATTATTGGCCATTACCAATCGATTTTATTCAGTTTTTTCGGACGGTTTTACGCGAATTTTTCGTAGTGATAATCCCAACACGGAATGATGATTGTCGCGTAATAGAAACATAACCACCATATCTAATAATGTATACTAGAGTTGAATGTTGGGGCCTCGACCACTGGGTATATAATACTTTCAATTATTGTTGAAGACATAATTAAGAAAAATTAACTGCAGTGTTTTCTGCTAATGGCGTCTTAAGCTGGACACATACTTTAACATAAAATATTAGAGATATATAGGTTGTATATTCGAGTCCACTCATTATTAAAAAGAATTTTCGTGTATTCAGTTTATAAAACGAAGAGGTGTGTTGAATGTAGTTAAGAAAATAAGTGTCGTCTCTTTTTAATATCTTAATTGCTAGATGGAATTTTTACATTCCTATGCCATATAGGAAACTATATTACCCTCAATGTTTAAGGTTTGATATAATTACATTTACAACAACAACAACAACAACTACCCAGTATAATCCCACCAAGTGGGGTCTGGGGAGGGTAGGATGTACGCAGCCTTACCCCTACCCTGGAAGGGTAGGGGACTGTTTCCGAATGACCCTCGGCTAAAGAAGGTGAATGAGGCCCTGATAGCAAGTGATAGCAAGACAAATAGTTAGAAAACTAAATCGGAGATAACAACAAAGAATAGCAAGATAGTACCGATAACAAGTAATATCAAGATAGTATATTTAGACAGATAAGTCCAAGGAAGCACACGAGAATATGACGAAGTCCTGCTAGCAAACTACGGAATTATCGAAGGTAAGTAGTAACAGAACAAGACACGCGGCTATAGCAAACTAAGGAAAAAAGGATACCATACTAGCACTAATACTATCGAAATAGGGAAGACCGAGGAGAAACGCCCAACTACCTACTAACCTTCCACCCTAATCTTCCACCTCCACACCTTTCTATCTAGGGTCATGTCCTCGGTCAGCTCAAGCTGTGCCATGTCCTGTCTGACCACCTCACCCCAAGACTTCTTAGGTCTACCTCTACCCCTCCTCTCACCTCCCAAGTCCAACCTCTCACATCTCCTGACTGGGGCATCTGTTCTTCTCCTCTTAACATGCCCAAACCATCTCAACCTTGCCTCACGCATCTTTGCCTCCACAGGGGCCACTTCCACCTTGTCCCTAATAACTTCATTCCTAATTATATCCAATCTAGTATGCCCACACATCCATCTCAACATCCTCATTCCGCTACTTTCATATGCTGGACATGTGACTTTTTGACTGGCCAACACTCTGCCCCATACAACATAGTCGGTCTGACCACTACCTTGTAAAACTTACCCTTAAGTTTCAACGGCACGTTCTTATCACACAAGATACCGGAAGCGAGCCTCCACTTCGTCCATCCTGCTCCGATACGGTGAGTAACATCCTCATCTATCTCCCGATTCATCTGAATTATAGATACCAGATATTTGAAACTCTCCCTCTTGGGAATAACTTGCGTATCGAGTCTCACATCCCTACCCGCCTCCTGGGTAACACCACTGAACTTGCACTCCAAGTATTCTGTCTTGGTCCTGCTCAACTTGAAACCCTTAGATTCTAGAGTATGTCTCCAGACCTCCAGCCTTTCGTTAACGCCACCTCGCGTCTCATCAATCAGGACTATGTCGTCCGCAAATAACAAGCACCAAGGCACCTCCCCTTGGATGTGACGCGTCAAAGAATCGCCAGGGAAAACAAAAACGGGCTGAGTGATGATCCCTGATGCAACCCCATCTCAACCAAAAAGTAGACAAAGTCTCCTCCTGTTGTCCTTACCCGTGTCTTAGCCCCATCATACATGTCCTGGATCACTCTAATATATGCTACAGACACACCTCCCGCCTCCAAACATCTCCATAGAACTTCTCTCGGTACTTTGTCATAGGCTTTCTCCAGGTCAATGAACACCATATGTAAATCCTTCTTCACCGCCCTATACCGCTCTACCAATCTCCTCACAATGTGTATGGCCTCAGTAGTCGACCGTCTCGGCATGAAACCGAACTGTTTCTCAGAAATGGACACACACCTCCTCAATCTCCCTTCAATCACCCTCTCCCACACTTTCATCGTATGGCTTAACAACTTGATACCCCTATAGTTGTTGTAGTTTTGAACATCCCCCTTGTTCTTGTACAACGGAATCATCGTACTCCGCCTCCACTCTTCGGGCATCTTCTTCTTCCTAAAAATGACGTTAAATAACCTTGCAAGCCATTCCACGCCCTCCTTGCCCACACTCTTCCAGAATTCCACCGGGATCACGTCCGGCCCAGTTGCTCTACCCCTACTCATCCTGCGCATAGCCTCTTCCACCTCCCCCACTCGTATGCGCCTACAGTACCCAAAATCTCGCTGCCGCTCTGAGTACTCCAACTCCCCCAGTGCGATGCGCCTATCTCCCTCCTTGTTCAAAAGTTTATGGAAGTACGCCTGCCATCTCCGCCTGATCTGTGCCCCCTCCAATAAAACTCTTCCCTTCTCGTCTTTTATGCATCTGACTTGGTCCAGATCCCGGGCCTTCCGCTCCCTCACCTTAGCTAGCCTATACAATTTCTTGTCCCCGCCTTTAACCCTCATTTCTTCGTATAAATGACTAAACATTGCGGCCTTAGCTGCCGTAACCGCCAACTTCGCCTCTCTCCTAGTCTTCTTGTACCCCTCCCTGTTGGCACTCTTCTGCCCCTCGTCTATACTCTCTACTAGCTTCAAATATGCCGCTTTCTTTGCTTCCACTTTTCTTTGCACCTCTTCGTTCCACCACCAGTCCCCTATATAGCCACCAGAAAAAACCTTTGAGACCCTAACACCTCTCTCGCCGCCTCTCTAATACAATTTGCTATCATTGACCACATACAGTTGCGTCCCCGCTACTCCTCCAGGCCCCCAAAGCCAGAAACTTCTCCCCCAACTCCTGGGCCTTGTCCTTAGTCAATGCACCCCATCTGACTCTAGGAATACCAGACTTAGCCCTCCCCCTCCTCGTCTACCTGATCTCTAAGTCCATTATCAAAAGCATATGTTGGGTCGTAAGGTTCTCACTCGGGATGACCTTGCAATCCGTGCATAGACCTCTATCATATTTCCGGAGAAGCAGATAGTCAATCTGGGTCTTGGCCACCGTACTCCGAAAAGTTATCAGGTGCTCCTCCTTCTTAGGGAAACACGAGTTAGCAATCACTAGCTCAAAAGCTTTAGTGGTTTTTAAGGGTATTAATTACACTCCTAATTTAATGGTACCGTATATTCCTTCTAATACCACTCCCGCCACGTTTCTCTCTCCAATTCCCACACCTTCACCCACGCTTCCCTTCCACACCCATGATTTCTGTATCAAACTCCTATTATTTCTTCCATAGCCAAGGTACTGTCGGCACCTCTGCAATCTTGTCCCAATGTTTTTGTGCCCGGGGAAGATGAGCACAAGCCTGGTCGATTTGATGGTTATGATTTCGGGTTCCTTCAGTAATATAAGAGGAAAGGAAAAGAGACCAGCAATTCCACCATTGACAACCATTAAAAAGCTTTGAAGCTTTGAATTCAAATTTGGGTTTTCAAAAATTGTTATTTGTTTGGATTGGGTGTTGTTGTAAATAATTGGGAATATGGTTTGGAGTTTATATCTCAATTTTGAGGGGTTTTGGTGAAGATTAGACTTGGTTTTGGCTGAATTTCAGATTGAAACTCGAAGAAGAAGAAGAAGAAGAAGAAGAAGAAGAAGAAGACATGACATCAATATATTGCAGCAATTGTAGAAAAATTGTAGACTGTTATTTATTTATTTTTGAGCTTTTGTGTTTTTGTGTTAAAAGTTTTGATGGGAGCTTGTTATTCCACTTCGTCTGTTTTGGAGCTAACATGTGCAGAGGAGAATATGTTTTTTAAGTTATATATATTGCTATACCTTTAAATTCAAGAAAGTATGGTTGTATTGTATTTAAAGAGGCGTGAATTTGTAGAATAGGTTGAATGTGAGGAATGAGTCAAATATGACTCACAATGGCTTGTTTTCTACATTTAATCTACAACAAAACTACATATCATTTGAAAAATTAATATGAAAATATAGAATTTCAATGTTTCTACAAATTATCTACAGAATTTCTACAAACTGTTCAAAACAGAATTTATCTTATTTTCGTGCATGTTCGTCTGGAACACTAAAGTTACTTGATATGCCAACATCTCCCGTTATAGAGGAATACAACTTATCTACAATTCAACTTTCACACATTATTTCCACCCAGTTAAATATAACTACAATAACATAAAATTTGAGCTTTGCGTTTTTGTGTTAAATGTTTTGATGGGAGCTTGTTATTCCACTTCTTCTGTTTTGGAGCTAACTTGTGCAAAGGAGAAGATGTTTTTTAAGTTATATATATTGCTATACCTTTAAATTCAAGTGTGATGACCCAAAGGGTCATCACCTGTTTTCTTATTCATTCCATACTTTTGAGGCCTTGAAAACCTCATTTGGGGTTGCCTTGATTTGCGTGCGCAGTCCGGGCGCGTAGCCGGAAAGCTTAAATATGAATTCTGTGTGAAAAATGCTAAATTTTGATATTAATATGAATATATTTGACTTCGGTCAACATTTTGGGTAAACGGACCCGGACTCGTGATTTGATGGTCCCGGAGGGTCCGTAGGAAAATATGGGACTAGGGCGTATGCCCGGAATCGAATTCCGAGGTTCCAAGCCCGAGAAATGAATTTTTGAGTAAAATTGTTTTTCTGAAATTATTAAGGAAATTGGAAATAAAATTTGATTAAAAGACTGTGGTATCGGGCCCGTATTTTGGTTCCGGCGCCTGGTACAAGTATTATATATGGTTTAAGCGCTTTCTGTGAAGTTTGGTTGAAATTGGACGTCGTTTGACGTGTTTCGGACTTAAAACTCTAAATTTGAAAGTTTATGAAGTTTGAAGAAAAACTAGGGACTTTGAGGTATGATTCGTTGTTTTGATGTTATTTTGGCGATTTGATCGCGCGAGTAAGTCCGTAGGATGTTATTGAGGTTGTGTGCATGTTTGGTTTGGAGCCCCGAGGGTTCGGGTGAGTTTTGGATAGGTGTCGGATTGCATTTCTCATTTTTGGAAAAATCTGGTATCAGCCAATCTGCAGGATTCGCATTTGTGAAGCCAGAGTTCGCAAATGTGAAGATCCAGAGTTCGCAAATGCGAAGATCCAGAGTTCGCAAATGCGAAGGCGGGTTCGCAAATGCGAAACCAGCCCAGGCCGGCCAAGGTTCGCAAATGCGAAGCCAAACATCGCAAATGCGATGGTCACTGGTTCGCAAATGCGAGACCCCAATTCGCAAATGCGAAGGTACCCTGGTTGGCCTCAGTTCGCAAATGCGAACAGTAATGTCACCTTTCCCAAGCCTGCAGGGTTCGCAATTGCGAACCCAACTTCGCATTTCCCATATCCGCAGCCCAGCAAATTTTATACTTAGTCGAATTTTAGACCATTTTTCACCCCACTTTCAAAATACAACTCCTTAGGCGATTTTTCAAGAACAAGTTTCATCCCAAATCATTTGTAAGTCGATTTTTACTTACCTCTTTCAATCATTAACATCATTTAACATGTTTTCAACTTAAAATCAGTGATTTTCATGGGAGAAATTGGGGGTTTTTGGGTAGAACCTAGGTTTTCTATAAATTGGGGATTTGGACCTCAATTTGAGGTCCGATTTTAAAACAAATTGCATATTTGAGTTCGTGGGGGAATGGGTAACCGGGTTTTGGTTCGAACCTCGGGTTTTGACCACGTGGGCCCGGGGGCGATTTTGGAATTTTTGGGAAAAACTTTGGGAAATTCATTTTTATGCATTCAAATTGATTCATTTAGTGTTTATTAATGTAATTAGGTAATTTGTGGCTAGATTCGAGCGGGTTGGAGGTGGAATTTTGGGGTAAAGCCACAGTTGAGGCTTGAGTTGAGTTCAAGGCATCGAGGTAAGTGTTTGGTTTAACCCTAGCTTGAGGGAATAGGAGTTGAGTCTTATTTGATGCTTGTTAATTGTCGAGTACGATGTATAGGCATGGTGACGAGTATCTATACATTGGTGTCTAGCATGACCGTGAGCCCTTATTTTGCGAATAGTTTGGTTGTTGATATGCCTTCCATGCTTAATTGATGACTCCTATATGTTGTAAAGACCTTGTGAAAGAAATTGTGATCTTGAAACTTAGTGGAGCATTGGCTCGGGGTTAAATACAAATTGTGAAGGTTTATGAGATAAGCAACTCTTTGGAGCATTGGCTCAAGTGATAATGTGAACTATGAGACGAAAGTGAAAGAAAGAAAAGAGTAATGATTTATTTCCTTGCCGGGATGTTGTTGGTTATTGATGTTGTACCCTTACCGGGTCTTTAGATTGTTGTTGTGTACCCTTGCCGGGACTTCTATTCTTGTTGTATTATTTTTCCTTGCCCTTGTTTGTGATTGTTGATTGGGTGAGGAAGAGTGTTAAAGCACGAAGGGTGATGCCGTGCAATGAATGATGTATATGGATCGGGTTGCGCGCTGCAACAATCTTAAATGATATTTATGGATCGGGTTGCACGCCGCAACAATGATAGTTATGGAACAGGTTGCACGCCGCAATAGTGTTGTTAAATATTGGGATCGGGTTGCGCACTGCAACAATCATTGATACTAGTGTGTATATTTTTGGGTACTGGTTTCTTGTCCGCTGTAAATTCCAAGCTGCCCTTAGATTGTTATTCTGGATTTACTACTAATACTGTTATCTCCCTACAGCATGTTCCCCCCCCCCCAATATTGTTTACTTGACTTGTATTTTCGATTCCGCTGTATATACATATATATATAATTGTACAGGTTTATGTGGTAGTCCAGTCTAGCCTCGTCACTACTTCGCCGGGGTTAGGCTAGACACTTACCAGCACATGGGGTCGGTTGTGCTGATGCTACACTCTATGCATTTTTTGCACAGGCCAAGGTTTCGAGCAGCAGCAGCGGCATTAGCACGGGAGCAGGCTTTCAGTATCGTGAGACCCGAGGTAGCCTTACAGGCGTCCGCAGGCCCGGCGTCTCTCTCTTATTCTCTCTTTTAGACTGTTGCCTCCTTGTATTCGAGACAAACAGCTTATGTGTTCTTTCAGACCTTTGTATTTAGAAATTCTTAGCAGTTCGTGAGTATTGTGACACCAGTCTTAGGTAGAGGCTTATATTGACTAATCCATGTTGTATCCAGTTTCTATAATTAAGACTTCCGCTATTATTTAATTTCGTTGTTTTATATTTTTGCCGTAAATTGTTATAAAAAAGATTTGTTTAGTAATGGAAAAGTAATTAAAATGGCTTGCCTAGCTACTACGAGTAGGCGCCATCACGACTCCCGAGGGTGAAAATTCCGGGTCGTGACAAGTTGGTATCAGAGCACTAGGTTACATAGGTCTCACAACTCTCGGACAAACTTGGTAGAGTCTGAGGGATCGGTACGGAGACGTTTGTATTTATCCCCTAGAGGCTACAGAGTTAGGAAAAGTTTCACATTTGTTCCTTCTACTCGTGCGGTTCTATTTCTCAATGCTAATTGTATTTCTACTCCGTTCTTTCGCAGATGGCGAGAAGACGCGCTTCTTCATCTATCGATCAACAGTTCGAGCCCCAGGCAGCTCCCGCTAGGGGCAGAGGGCAAGGACGAGGCCGTGCTAGAGGCCGAGGTAGGGGCAGAGCTCAGCCCCGATCAGCAGCACCAGCGGCGGAGCCTCAGGTTGACTTTGAGGAGGAGGTTCCGGCCCTAACCGCAGCAGTACTGGTGGGCCCAGATCAGGTCCCAGAGGGGTTTATTGCTACCCCAGTTCTTCAGGACGCTTTGGTCCGGTTGGTGGGCCTCATGGAGAGTGTCACCCGAGCAGGATTGCTTCCTGTAGCACCAGCCACTTCTCAGGCTGGAAGAGGAGCCCAGACTCCTGCTACACGTACTCCGGAGCAGGTAGCTCCCCAGGGTCAGATTCCAGTGGTTCAGCCAGCTATGGCAGTTCAGCCGGGGGTAGTTGCTCAGACCGGCGATGGAGCGGCTATGTCCGCAGATGCTTTGTGGAGG